GGCTGTGTGCCAGCTTGTACCGGAAAGGGGCCTGACATCGCCGTTAACGGCAATGGCGACTGCGCTGCTGGCCATAATCCTGGCCTTTGCAAAAGGTCCAAGATTTGGTCCAAAGAGTTCTGCATGAAGTCCAGCCTGCTGTCCACGTGCGCATGCAACGACAACACGCTGGCCTTCAACACCTTCATTTCGTTAGTCATGGCTGACTCATCTAAACCCTCTAATGCAGCTTTTTCTGCCTCTAACGTATCAAGCCTGGCTGTTCTATTTTTGATCTCTTTTTCTCTATCGGTGGCTTGCTTCAGTTCCCTCTCTAACCGAGCGCGGATCCTCTCGACTTGGTGGAGGTCTTGGAGCTCCCTGCCGTGTGGGGTCAACGGACTGAACTGTGAGCCCACCATTTGACTTGTGGACTGAACATAACCTACTGATCCGGAAGTACCCGTGGTCCCAGAAGGCATTCCCAACTGAGTCCCAGACGAGGACGCAGCAGAGGCTGCGCCGTTAGCCATTGCTGCTGCACTGGCTGCTGCTGCCTGCTCCCTAGCTGCGGCGTTCGCTGCTGCTAACGCCTGACTTGCAGCTAGTGCTGTTTCCCTGGCTGCTGCTAGAGCACGGGCTCTAACTTCGGCACGAAGCCGTCTCTCATCTCCCGACTGTAGGGCCCGAAACACGCGCGGGACCCTTAGTGATCTCGAACGTGTCAGCCTCGCATCGTCAACTCCACCCTCATCGGTGTCTGACCCACTCATCAGCTAGGCAAACACTATCTGCACTACAACTCCCTGCTGGAGTCCTACCACAAGCATGTGTCTGACCGACACCTAATTTTCTAAAAATAAATGTGTCCGGCAGGTCCCCTACTCAACCGATCAAGTGGCAGCCTACAACATCCACAAAAGACCGTAAACATAGTTTAGTAATATCATGATTAGTTCACTTACAGAAGCTTTGCATAGAACTGGCTATGGTAATATACAACAGTCCTAAACTAAACTGTCCGTGAGGTGTTAGCAGTCTGTCAACCAACTAATCAACAATAAAACCAAACTACGTTGCAGATGTATGAACAGTGGATATAGTTGTGTTTACAGTTGAGCATCAAATTGGAACCTACCCTCCCCTCAATCCAACATACCGATGAGCATCAATGTCGGCCCACCCCTGTGCCCCAGGTGCATGCTTATGACCAGACTTGCCCATTCTTTATCCTCGCGTGCAACGAGCCGTACGTCTGACTGATCTGGCTGATCAAGAGGCCTATTTAAGGACTGCCCCCAAGGTCACTCAGGAATTATTTAACGTCGCAATCAGGACGACGATCACAGCCAGTTATCAGATCGGAAACGCAACCAGAAATGTTTATAGACCATCTGGGAGCGTCTGCATAAGCCTGTTCAGTCCGCACACCCCTCTATCAACGCAGCAAAAGTGCCCTCAAGGACAAAGCAGCCATCGCATGCATGTACTAATCCCATTGGGTTGGCATGGTGACCGTGACCCATGTGCTTCGACCAGGGCCCTTAAGAGGCACTGCCCTTTCTCCTTCCAGGTGCTCCACCGGGAAGATTGTCGTCTCTCAAGGTAGAGCGCTCACGACACCTCACCAAAAGAGAGGACTCTCAAGTTGGACACACTTCCTCGCGGTAAGAAGAGATTGAGAGGGTAGATAAGGTAAGGGATCAACGTACCTGGAGACAGCTGCCCCCAACCACAGATTTCTCACCAATTGAGCTGAGTGTGCATTTGATGACCGGTCGTAGCCTCGGTACCACCCACAACGCAATGCAGTGCCACCTCAGCCAAATGCCACATCAGCATGCTCTCATCACCAATCATACATTCTGCCGTCACCACGGCATCCCAAGCCGTATAGCCTTCCGACGCACACCTCTCTACCCAGGTCGTGCGCCTAATATGGCCTGACATCACAAGAACCAACTGCGAAGAAGCATCGTCAATGCACCAAGTCTGTATAACGCCAGCGCACCAAGGTAAGTGGCGAATCGAACCAGCTCCGATACCAAAATGCTAGGAACATGAATGTGGGCGAAGCACAAAAATCCAAATTGCATAATCACACTGAAGTCCAAGTAGTCAAAGCAAGAGCAGATAGCACAATGGAACCAAGTAACCATCCATCTGAGAACGATACAGCAGAATCGTGAGTCAATGTCCCAGCCCAATCGGGCAACACCAACAGCATAACCCAATGTAGCTCTCTCTCTTGAATGGCGCCAGGCGCCCTATCTACTCTACAGCCTAACACTACAACTACAGCATGGAAGCAACCAGACAACTTGACGACCAGCGAGTGATGATGTCAACACCAATGCCGACCTCCCTCTCCACCAGGTACGTCTCTCTCTTCACCCTCACTCTCCCTTGTTATCCCACACAGCGCCCTACACCTTCYGAAGAACCACCTTCGCCCTCACCTCCTTCTGCGCCCACAGGCAGCCCGGCTATGGCCGCCAGCGCCCTGCGCCCAGGCTGCGCCCTACCGCTTAGCACCAGCCTGCCTCTACCTTAGCCTAGTGCAGTGCAGCACCTCGCAAATGCGCAGCGTGCCGGCATTGCTCGCAATGGCCAAGATCCCTGCCCACTCGCCCTCTCTTCCTATATGCCAGTGTTGCGTGTGGGCGGCCTCCCTTGAGCCTGCGCCTGGGCCCCAGTACCTGTACCCAGGCCCAATGCGGTTGGGGCCCACGAAATGCAGTTGCGCCTCTTTCATCAAGGCCTGCGTCCAGATTCAGATTGACTTACCGTGAGGGCACGGGTGCGCAAATACAGTTGCGCCTCTTTCATCAAGGCCTGCGTCCAGATTCAGATAGTGGACCGGTTTCCCATTGGCATTTTCGGCCTCTATACCCAGCATGCAATGTCGGCCTCAAGTTTATGTGCCCAGGGCCTAACCAATTCTGGGGCCCTGGTCTTTCTGCATTTGCAGAGATCCGGTACTCAGTGCACTCCAACCAACTGGCGTGCGGCAACTGTATGGACCCCTCTTCGTGAAATGTTTGAACAGAGGGGCTCTCGTTGATTTGCTGGCCCGCCTTCACTTAGGGCGGGCACGAGGCTTGCTGGGGGC